ACGATATTGCAAAGTTTTAATGAAATAAATAAAAAATGTGTATGAATATTTTAACTAATTGTACTAAGAATTTTTCTTTCATTCTTAACCCTCTCAAAAATTAATAAGCACGCCCCCGATTTGCTGTCGACTGGGCTTACTTCTACTCTCAATCATTATTGGTTTTAGTATACCTACTTTATTTGTTTTATACATTTATTACGTGATTTAACTCTGATAACTACTAGGGCTTCCACTTTCGATCTATCATTATCTTTCTAGAAACGGATTATTTCCGTCAACTATACTTGCTAGAGAAATTTTGAGGCAAATTTTGTCAAATCAACCTGTCTAATTTATTTTTTTTCAATATCAGTACAAAGTGACACTTTGACAATTCTTTGTTTTTTTCGAGTAATGCACTGTCACCTTGTGACATTGGTCCCTTCGAGTTTCGCAGTTGTCTTCTCAAAATTAGCCTTATTTTTAAATTTCATGGACCGATGTCGAAGAAGATTTGAAATACGTCATTTGTTGACTGAATTCGATGTAGTAGGTCTTCTTTGATATCAGATTGTTGCCATTCTGCCACTTCCCATACCATTGGTAACCAAGTACGATCTATTTCCAAAGAACTGTGTGATATACATTTCCCAACAGATATAAGAGTAAGGAATGAACTATGGATGATGGAAAGCTACTGTTGTGGTTTGAAACGTTTTTTTTTGTGTCTTTGAGAACGCTTCCATCTTCTTATCACTTTTGGTTTAATGTTACTTTATCGGCAACATATTGTCTACAATCTTACAAACAACGATTCTATTGTTTTTCATTTCAGGCCTCTTACCTATTATGGAGACTTCAACCCAAAAAAAGAGACTGGCTCTAACAGTGACCATTCCCACGATTGTGGCTATTCTTCAGAGAACAACAATGGGTGTTGCGAAACTGGATCTCTTATCTCCAGCCTGTCTAGCTCACCAGAAGGCTCAGAATTAGCTTGTTCAGATACTTGTTGCCAACTCGACTCTGATTATATTTCTCACTGTAGATTGTCTTATGGGGGAAATGGACAACAACTTAGTTTACAGGAAATGCTGGAGGTATGATATTTTTATATTGTATTGATTCATTCTATATTTGTTTATAAATTAGGAAACAACATTGCATACAAATTTAACAACATTATTCTATGAACTTGTCTTATGCAAAATTTCTGTTTAGGAGTTCTTCAAAACAAATTACGTCATTATTTTACTCAAATCATTTTGCTTGTCAGTGGGCAAAATATTGTTTTAAATTCACATGTGTATTCTATGACTGCTCCTAATGATGTTTTTTGTACAGGGCCACAGTGACGATGATGACGAAGAATGTTATATAACCCCAGAAGAAGTTAGAGAATTCAAAAATAATAGTAGGCAGGTATATGAAAAACGTCAAGAGTTAAGAGAGACCCTGCAGAAGAGGTTTGCTCAGTTTTGTGTTGATGGTCCTGTGCCACGAATACTCTTACAAACCAATTATGCTTCTAATTGATTTTTTAGAGTCTACACGATTTTCCATGATTTTTTAATGTTCAGTTTTAAAATTATACCTAAAAAGTTGTTTCTGTTTCCATTATTTTGTTTTTCTCCGTATTTGCACAAAAAAAGAAAATTTATTTTCAATGAAGCAGCCAATAAAAGAATATAATAGTCTTCGAAAAATGGGGAACTGCTACTATACAGTTACAATATTTACTGATGTATTTGTTGCATTCCATAATGGGTTATTATTGTTAACAAAAAATAGGTTGTTTTGTATAGGTATCTGATGCACATGTATCGCATCAGACCATCTATGTCAGTAATAAAATCTATAAATGAATAAACTTTGTTTAATTTGCTTATTTTCTCTCTTTTTATCTACATTTTTTTACTTTTCTGAATCAATTTTTCATGCTGCTTGAAGCCTCCCTGCATGTCTATTTCTTTCAAGTCTCCAGAAAACCCTGCAGTGACAATCCTCAAGGGTTTTGTGACTTGCCGCCAGGGTTTCAATCTGCCTACTCCCAAGAGTCGACTGTGGGTCCACAGGCTCTGGTTTGCTATTTATTTTCCTGAACGATTGTACAAGTGTACAAGGTTGGGGTTAGTAGTGGAAACGGAGGTGTAATTTGCAGAAGCGAGGTGTGCATATTGTGTGGTGTATGGTGTGACAATAATGGTCTACATGAATGTGGCCGTTGTAAGTTCTGGAGCAGGTGGAATATGGTATTTCGTATACGCCCTATGTCTCATTGATTATCGTGTCCTTAGGAGTTCATTGAAAAGTGGAACATTGATTGTTGGCTGTGTATACTATTTTTATATCGTGCCTCTACAGAATTCGGTTCACTTTATTGGTAACTCCATGAATATAAGGAAGAAAAGCATCATTCGGGTGGTTCGTGGGTTCATCGGGTTGTTTGGGATGATGGGAACGGGTTTGCTGAAATTGGATGAATCTTTGGATTTGGGATGCAGCACATTAGTTCGTCCTGTTTCTTGGATCTAGACGGACTCTTAAGTGATGAAAACGAAACGATGAGGCTATTGCTCTGAACGACCTAATCTATTGATGAATTATTGCTTTTATTTTTGAGATTTACTGAAAAGTAACATCATGTGAACGATAATAATACGTCATTGATTGGTGTCAAAATTGAAAAAATGGCCAACGACTTCTGTTTGTAAAGAGCTATTTTCGATATACTGGGTGCTATTATCATTTTAGCAAGAGTTGTCGATTGAATGCAAATGTTAATTGTTTTGTCGTCCTGTTCCACTCGTGAAAAAAAGATGCTAAATAAAACTATTGGTTCCATCACCTGTTTCATTGATAGCACATTTGAATTATTTTGTTGTCTCGACTGTTCATGTATAAATCATGTTTCAGTTCAAATTTACCGCTATTTCACTTCAATAGCGTCACTAAAATGGCGCCACAAATTTTTGACATTTTACAACCCCTCTTATGTAGGGAACAACTTTGGGAGCAATTATCAAAGGAATAGAGAAGTTCACATACGTTCATTGGAACTAATTCAGATGGTAAAACAACAAAGTCCTCTCAAATTATTGTGGCGGTTGTGATTTTTGTTATTCACGTTTGCGAAAAATGTTTATATTTAAAGTAAAAACAAAGAAGAAGAATTCTATGTAACATAAAATTCAATTAGGTTAGGTACCATTTTTTAAAATTAAACGGAAAAAAACGATCGAACCTTCAAAACTCCAAATCAACTAAAAGATCATGGACCCAGACGAAGTAGAATTTTTAGGAGAAAAACAGTACATATCGATTATCCCAACATTTAACAGTGGTGTCCTTCACTTGATATCTGGGGATGTAGGCCCATTTCGAGCCAGTTTACCTGTAAGGGTGCCTCTTTGGATGGCCATAGACTTGAAACGTCAACAAAAATGTAAAATTCAACCTTTAGACTGGATGGATGTGGATCATTTGGAAAACATCAAGGAAAATGAAAAAACCTCCAAGTATAAAAAATATAATATATGGCTGATATCTTGAAAATTCTAATTCATGTAAATGGAAGGTAAGGTAACTACACCATATAGTGCAAGTTATTATTAACTTTTCTTTCAATTCTATCGGTCCTCCGCTTTAAGTAATATCCATAATGAAATAATAAATCAATTTTTGCCAATGTTAAATAGACATTTCACAAAAAAATTGTCAATAGAAAGAAATGGTTGAAATTCTGAACTTGCCTCATAACATAGATTCATATCTTAGTTGCGTTAGTGATTACGATTAGATTGTGTCATGAAAATCACTCATTAAATTTTAAAATTATGAATACTCTGAACCGTTATGTGATGAAAATAAATAACACTTTTCATGATAATAATTGAAGAATTTTCACAATAAATTATATTTGACACGTGTTTCACTAGACGGACTGATGGCATCAAAGTTCAACTCTAAAACAATAAAAAATCTCCACTAATTGCCAAGTTTTATCCTTAAAAAAACACTGATACTGGTGAAATAAACATTATTTTTGTTACTTGAATTATTTTATCACAAGAGACGGTAGTAGACCTCACTGATATCATTCACCTGCAGTAGTTTTATGACAATTGTTAACCTAGCGCTCCTTCAAGGTAAAACTTTTAAAAAAGCTTCAAGAAATTTTGGATAATATATTGAAAAGGAATACCCAGATTTGTTCAAAACAACATTAAAAATTTTGATACAATTTTCTTCATCTTACACCTGTGAACAGGGATTTTCCATAATGGTGAATTTGAAAACAAAATCAAGAAATCGTTTGACATTATTAAATGACATTGAAAAATATTCCCAAACAAGTCCATGTTTCTCATTAATAGAATACAAAAAACACTTTTTTATTAAAAAACTGCAGCAATAACTAATTTTCTTTACTTTTCCTCAATATTTCGCAACTCCCAAGGGGGTCGGTCTAATTGATGAAGCTACTATGTAGCGAAATGCGTCATAAATAAAATTTATTGTGAAAATTCTATAATTATCATGAATGGTAATGCAACTTCAACAAGCCAAGCACTGATTGTTCGTCTTTCATTTCAGGTTCCAATACACAAAATGTATTGAAGGGAACTCCTCCCTATTCATCATCACAAATTTGAAAAGTTTAATTTTTGAAAAACTGCAATTTTCTTTATCAGTTTCAAATGTATATTACTGTTTGCTTTTGTCTTGTTTGCAAATATTTTTGTGTTACCTTACTTTTCATTTACCTGAGCTAAACTCAAGTCTCTTGATTTTTGATTTCATCCTAGGTTTGAAACATCTGAATCAAATTTCTTATTTTTTTAGACTTTTTACAAAAATGCCTAGTGAGCACTATATGATTGAAGCAAAATTATTATTAGGCTGTGCCTCAGATGATGTACCAAGGGCAGACGAAATCAGAACTATTATAAAAGATATTTGGGATATAAGAATGTCCAAAATAAGATCATCAGTGAATAAGCTGATAAAAGATGCAGAGTCCTATGCTGATGTTACAAATTTAACCATTTTAGAAATCAATTCAATCAAGCCAATATTTCCACATGTTTTAGACCAAATTCATCGAATAAAAGCGGTAAGTTCCATGTTGAAGATATGAACCTTTAATTAATAATTTCCTTTCAGACTCGCAAACCTCCAGGAACTCAGAGTCAGAATACTACAATTTTGTCAACGTCAGCACCCTCAACGTCATTCCCCATTTCAAAATAATCTTAAATGAACTTTCAATAAATTATCTTCCTTTCAATAATAATTGGTTTTATTAATTTGAATAGACAAGTTTTTGGTACATACAATATTGAAATGATAGGAGTTACAGGTAAGATTTTTTGTTTTCCTGAGTATTTCCATTCATTTTTTATATACATGGCAGATCTCCAATCCCTACTGTTATAAAAAATTATACCTACTAATTCCAAAACAAAGTTATACAAGAACGGAGGTTCAAGAAGGTAGTTTCTGTATGAGGAGGATAGGTTTTTGTTAGAAGAGTATACAATCATTTTGCAGAAATTCTGGATGGTAGTAGTTAAAAATTTCTTTCTTCATAATCAGTCTGTTAGTCCGGGTTGGGAAAGAATTTTATGGAAAGAATCTTATGGAAATTTGAATGAATAGTGGGTTTTTATTAATTAGTACATTCCTTGTGACATTTCAGGGATAGTTTTACCCATGGTGTATTTGTATTATAATGACCACTATGAAAAATGGTCTATGATATCTGGGCATATATCAGTATCACTGCTTTCAGTGTTATACAATTCAGTGTGACTACTGGGCTATTAATAATTCAAATCGTTACACAAAACAAACTAAACTAAAATGATGGAATCAGATTATTAATGACATTCACAACCGTGTTAGGAATCACACGTTAAAAGGTAAGACCTCGTTAGTCCTCAGCTCGCACAAGTTTCTTAACTTCTGAGAGTTGTCGTTCATATGGGGGCGATTCACAACAGATTCACAACCTATACTCAAATCGTATTTTATGACGGGTTAGCTGGCTGATAAATGCCACATGATACAGGGTGGCATAAATATGAGGGTTGGAATAATTATGTTGTTATTTTCAATAATAAATCATCAGAAGCATGTTTGGAGTCATGCCTAATACATTTTGTAAATCAATTTTTCCAAAGATAGGTTTTCTCACAGTGTATTCACTATATATATTTCAAATTACTCTGAATATTAAAACACGAGAGAATTCCATTCTTAAAAATAGCAGTTTAAGTACGATGCAAGAAAATGTGGTAACCTACATCAACTATACTCAAGATTAACCATTGGGCAAAACTCGCACATAAATAAAGGTATTCTCTGCTATAATAGATTTATAGATAAATTGATCTTGCCGATCTGAGGGTTTTTAAAAACTCCCTGTACAAGTATTTAGAATCCAGGGCATTCTACTCGTTAGAGGAATTTCTAGAGACATGAACTAATATGTTGTAATTAGGTATATTTTTATATATGTCTGACAGACTTTGTATTTTGTTTTTTTATACTTCTTCACATGCTGATTTTTATATGTAGACTAAATACTGAATTTATATCATATTTTGTGATGAGTCTAATAAGTTATACATTCTGTAGTCCTTTTTTTGTAATAACTTCAGTGACGAATAAAGTTCTATTCTATTCTAATAGTGAAAAATGCTTAAAGAAAGGCACATTTTCATAATTGTAAACAATAGCAATATGCTCTCCTAAGTTGAGCTTTCTGAATAAATGTCAAATTCTCATTTCAGACTTTCATTCATTTCAGACTTTCATAATTTAGAAAAATCTCGACAGATTTGAAATTCAAGAGAAAAATAAATTTATAAAGTGATGAAAATTTAAGGACAGAAATATTCGGAAGAGTTAGTTGATAAAGTAAAAATGTTAAAAAAATAAACAGTATGTAATGTAAAAGTATGCGGACACTTCAGTTGTAAAAAAAAATTATTGTGAACTGGCAAGAAAATAAATCAAAAATATGCTTTACAAAATATCATTAATGATTAATGAAATGTTAATAATCCAACAAAAGTTGAGAAAAATAATGGAGAAAGAAGCAAGAAGAAAAAATTAAAAAGCGAGTCATCTCAGGTGATGCTAATAATTGAAATGTGAGGTAGCTTTTGGTACATTATCTTATTTGTTTTTTTTCACTATAATTTGTTGAATAAATTATTGACATATTGTTACTTACATTTTTCCCACCCATATTTTTAATTTATTTCTGTTTCAGGTAATGATAATTGATTTTTTTTTTCAAATTGGCGTTCTTATACTACCTATTACATTTTTACCTTTTAATATTTCCACATTTTGATATTTTATTCAGTTTTTTTTACTAACTCACCCGAATATTTCGGTTCTAGTATTTTTAATATTTCATTCATTTATCTTTCCATATTTCAAATCAACAACACTTTTTCCGTCAGATGGCAGTGCAAGTTGTACGTTGTACATTTTACCATAAAATGTAATATAAATCTTGTAAGAAAAAAAGTAAACAAGAAAACGATAAGTAATGACTCTCTCTCCACTGAAAAAGTGGTTTTGAACCATAGTTGTGATTCTAACACAACTGATGAATTTCTTGATTCAAAATGAACTTTGAAAATGGTAACATGACAATTGAAGAAATCAGAATAGTCCCGATGGCCTTGTATTCCTGGACTATCTCAAAGACCACGTCAAGAATTTGATAGAAATATTTAACAAAAAAGATTCGTAGGCATGGTAGGTTAAGGATCATAATAAGCAATTTATTATAAAAGGTTTGTTGCAGAGTACCTAACATTCCAACTGTAAAGCTTCAGCAAAAAAATCACCAATACATAAATAAAATTGTTACACTTTATATTCGTTTATAACAAAACTTCAATAACAACTTGACATTGATACAAACATGATATTATAAAGGTGAATATCACAGAATGTATACAACATTCTGTCAATTAGTGACTTATTGTAATTACCATTCCAATACTCTGCCTCAATTCCATTAGTCAACAAAAGACCATGAAATATCTCAAAATACGCTTCTGCCCAGCACACTAATGGGATTCGGTAACAATATTTTCAAAACGACTATAAAAACTTTCCCTATGTTGATCAAAGAATGCAAACTTTCACAGCCGAAAGATAACTGTGTTAAAGCTATTCTCTGGGGGTGTTGGCCGTGGTCTGCTGGTTTTTATGTTTGACGTTTCGTCTACTACTGCGGAAGATATTATAAAAGCCGATGTGGTAACGGTCGCAGTGTGCGAATGATAATATGAAGATAACAGTATTTTTTCGTGAAATTTCCTCCATTTTGAACCTTTTTTCAAATTTGAAAAATGCCCAAAGAATTTTTGAAGATATTTGCAAAAAAACCATACCCATCTTTCTCAGTTCATTGTTCATAACTTTTGCAAGCGGCACTTGATTTTTTCAAAAATCATCTACACACTATTTTGAATCAAATGACACCTTGTTCATATTTTTTGAGGCGGAGAAAAAGGTTTGACCTGTAAGGCACTCCTGAACTAGACTACCTATAAAATACTTTGGTTGAAGGTGGTTGACAATATGTTTCGTGGTGTATTTCATCAGTTCGGACTTCCATTGTCTAATATAATATAAATTGATTTGAAATCCCTGAAAAAAATTAAAAAAAAAATTAAAAAGATTAACCGAATATACCAATTTTATTAAACAAAATACTGAAAATTACAAAAAATAACATACAAGCAACTACCAAAAAAATAAAAAAGAGAAATATTTATACAAGCTGAAAATTAAAATATTATTAACAAAAAATGAAAATTAAAAATTAAAAGATTCCAAACCAAGTTACGTCACGACGTTTCGATTGTTAGTATCCACAATGGTCTTCGGGTGATAACTGCACTTATTCCTCTGAGATCTGACTATAGGTCATTTGAGTACTTTCACCTATCCCCTCTTTCCGCTTCATTGGTTTTAGTGGGAGATGACCGTTTGGCGGGAGTTGGTCGTTATTCGCTTGATTAGAGGTTTCCATATGTTACGTATCTCTACTAAATGCGTTGTTGGACAACATATACGCGGCTTCTTTGAATTTTCTCCTGAACCAATGTTCCTTTTATGGATGATTTCAGCTTGAGCCCACTTGATGTTATGTTGATGAGTCCAAACATGCCCTGCTATTCCGGATTTGCTGGTTTCTCCTCGCTGTGTGTGTTCCCAGATCTGAAACAGTTCCTGATGTTATACTTGGACCCAATCCTTCTTATCCTTTCCGATAATCCTCTGATGTAGAGAAGTACAAGTACTGGTTGTGGCGGCTTCTATTCCTTGTGGATCTCTTGCTGTCTTCTAGCTAAAGCCTGTTTTTCAGGGATTCCAAATCAATTTATATTATATTAGACAATGGAAGTCCGAACTGATGAAATATAAAATACTTCATTCACATCACAATAAAATTGTAGTGACAAATTGTAAACAGATGAAGGAGATCTATTCAGTTAGAGATATAAATGAAAACCAAAAGCAAATTTTTCATTTTTTCCTGTATAGGTATCTCTTAAAAGGCCAACTCGGATTTTCAACATCATATTAATAGGCTCCGTAACATGCAACTTTGCCTTGATTTAACCTTCTCTATAACCTCTAACATTTTCAAGATCCTCATGCATCTACTTTAATTTTCATCTGGGCCCCTACATTTCTGACAAGTCTAATTGCACTAGACCAGTTTTGATGTATTTCTAACGTTCATAATGAAATAAAGTTTTCCACATTCCAGGAATGTAAAACTTATGAAACGGTTAACTTTCCACATGTAGATTATTTATTAATTAAATGGATCATAAGTTAGTGATAACTAATAATATATGTTGTGCAGTCATTAGAGAAAATATATCATGTTACCCAAGCATGAACTACCTTCCTACTACAGAAGTATCAACATGCTATATACATAGATTCATTTTTGGATGTCATAAAACTTGTAAATTGAACCTCTGGCATAATTTAAATTAAATGTAAACACTTCTCCTACACCAAACAATTGCAACACATTCTTTACCCTTCACAAGAACGAATCAGTTTTGGACTGTGGGAGAAAATGTCATTTCAATATACAACCACGCCATAAAAATTAAGCTGAGAATTATGTGATTTGTAACATTACTTGAATAGAACTGGCCGATACTTGATGAAAATCCATAATAAAAAAATTAATCAATACAGTTTATTTTATGATTTTCACTATAAGGATTTTACAAAAACCGCGACACGTGTTTCGCTATACAATAGCTTCTTCAAGCATAAAGAAGTTTATGGTGTGTTTCGCTATACAATAGCTTCTTCAAGCATAAAGAAGTTTATGCTTGAAGAAGCTATTGTATAGTGAAACATGTGTCGCGGTTTTTGTAAAACCCTTATAGTGTGTTAGCATAAAGAAGTTTATGCTTGAAGAAGCTATTGTATAGCGAAACACGTGTCGCGGTTTTTGTAAAACCCTTATAGTGAAAATCATACAATAAACTGTATTGATTTGTTTTTTGTAACATTAATGTTTATGATATATATTCCTACATTTTATTAATTTTCCATAAGTCACCATATACTCAGGTCTTCATTAAATTACAGGACTGATAGCTATATTGTATATAACAGTATACACATTACTTTCAAAACATTTTATTAAAATGAATTTTTTTAAATAATCATGAAATCGGTTGGCTGTCGTCTTTAGAACCAGTCTGTGAGAGATGTTTTACAATATCCACCCAGTTCCATCCTCTTGGTTTTTCACCTTTAGCATCTGTTCTGTTCCATTGACGTCTTTTTTGAGCTTTAGTCAGTTGTTCTTTTCTGTCTTTCTTAATATTTTCCTAAAAAAATAATTTCACTAAATTACATCAGGTCTAAATGATTTCCACTAGTATCCAGTTTCAATACAAAATTTGTCGTCAAATTTTTATTTTTCAACTTTCAAGTATAATACATTGATGAAAATCGCACCCAAATTGGTTAAACCATTTTTGAGATTAAAGCACACAAACACATAGATAAACGTTCTTATTAGTCAGTGGGCTATGCTTGAAGACTGGCAGTAAACAAATCTAAAGAAATGAACTTTAAACAACATACAATACAAAATTCTGAAGATTGAATTTCATTTCAAATCTACTGTTAAGGAATTCATTGTAGCTATAGAAGGCTTTGTTTGTTAAATAATCTTTCAATACAATCTTCAGTTTATTTGTTTGAAGATCCCTGATCTGGCAAGGTAGTTTGTTATAGAATTCTGGAGCATAATAAAGTGAAACATGCCTTGATTTAAGATAATTCATTGTTACATTGTCTCTTTTCCTTCTGTAGTGATTATGTACATTGCTTTGAGTTTTGTATTGACTTTACACAATGTCATAGAACGTGATCTCGAAACAATAAGAACGTGGTTTGACAATAATCTCCTTGTACTCAACATCTCCAAAACTAACTTGTTGACCTTCAAATGTGAATTGTACATCTGTGAGTGTTATTTTAACTATATTTTAACATACATCCATGTACGACAACTGACTTTGTCTACAAGAATTGTATTCTTTCGACAATAAAGCATATTCTGATTCTGATTCTAATATTTTCACGCATACAGACAATGCATTCGTATATGTATCTTGATGGAATGGTCATGATTTTGAGATCAATAAATTTTGTCCGACATCGACACGATACCCCACGTTGTAAAGTACACACAGTACAGAAATCAAAATAAGTCTGATGAGTATATCGAGGAGGAAATCAATATTTCAAAACATTCACCTCTCCCAATATTCTTATAGAGTAAGATCTGGTAAATTACTACCAGAAAACAACTACTTTCTAGGCTAATACCATGATGTACATTGAATTATTCCGAGAGCGATTTATGTTACTTCACAGAGTCTTGCAGATGCTTCTCTTTCCTTTAGTGCAGGAAATATCCAAGCTAAACAGAAATACTTAATGAATGATATATCGTTGGAAGTATGTGGCCAAACAAAAATATTACAAGTTCACGTCAAGCATTTTTAGAATGCTGGTCTACCGGATTGGAAAAGGTAAGCGACTTATTATTACCCACATTGGAAGTGCTGATGATTTTGTTGAGGTCAGTTTATTGATGTTTGAGTCAAAGCATTCCGGTGATTACATGAACGGATAAGTATTTGAAGAATATTTTGAGCAAATGTTGAACCTGGCTCTGTTATTGTGACGGATATTGCAAGTTATCATACCAGAAAATACCAAATAATATCAACAAATGCATGGAGAAAAGCGTATATCATAATATTCGATAACGATTCATCAGATTTATCTGATGATAACACACCATAATTTTTGCATGTGTGTGTATGTTTAAAATAAATTACTTGTTAGTACTTAGGTTTAACAATATTGAAAAATTTTGTTAGAACTTTGGGTAAGTTTTGTTTGGGTATGTTTCTTTGTAATACATTCCTGAATTACAGTTTTGAAGTTTTCTACATGTCCTTCTGAAAAAAATCGCCGGAGGTTATGAAAATTTCAATTTATGTGTAATGAAAAGATAACCTGGAGTCTTCAACTTTTTCTTGATAATCGAAATCATATCTGATTATGAAGTCATACAGACAAGTACTTGGTTTAGCCATTACCCTCAGTGGTTCATGGATGGTATATATCTTGTTGAAATATGTTAAGTACAAAATGAACGGGAAAAAGTAATTTTCTTTTGATTTCACAAATGTTCATATGGAAGAGGTTTTTCTATAGGACCTTTCCTTTGATGTAATTCAATGTTCATGTGGAGTAGTTGTTTCAGAAGGGCCCTTCTCTCCAGTTTCTGGAAGAAATCTTTTTTTGCCAAGAATTAACAATTTTGACAAACTTATTGGCAAATTATATTCAATTTAGCAGTTACCCTACTACTCCATTCTAAAGATTCTGAATAAAAAGTAACAAGTGGAAGATGAATCAAACAATATAAAAACAATGGGCATGATCATTCTAGTACAGGAATCATAGCAGAAAAACGTAGTTATAATAGAATCTCTTAGATACCTTTCAACATCTGAGCAACGGATCATCAGCTAATAGTCCCAAGTCTGGGAAACTTTCAAATGCCATTTTAAATCTACTAACAAACACAATTCAGTTCATATTGGACAAGGGACATTCTTACTTGTGTATCTGGTGACGAAATGCAAATTTTTTCAATTTCAAGCTTTTCAGGTTCATCTGGCTGCTCATTTATCAACTCTTCAAATTTTTCCTTAACAAATTCAAACAAAGAGTAAGTCATCGACATTCCTAAGTATTGTTGTGCTTCTGTGTTCACGAGATCGATAATCTTTGTCTTCAATGCCTGAATTCTGAAAGTGGAAATTCCATTACAAGAACTGTTTTGGGAAATATTCTGATACAAACTCTACTTCGAGGTCGACTTACATGTGTTTATTGTAAAAGGTATCCATACTAATATCCGGTAACTCATTTGGATACTCACTTCCCCATTTTATTTCTAGTACAAAGGACTTATTCGAATCGCTCTCACCATACTGAAATTCAGGGGTAACTCAATAATTACAATAAATAAAGGGACAATTACTTACTTTATATTGGTATGTGGTGGAATTGATTTGTTTGAAGGAATTGTCCCCATCATAAATGGATAGCAAAACCTCCATTTCTTCATCTTGTAGTTGGGGATCAGACATAATCACATTATGGGGCTAACAATTTGACAATGATATATGTATGTATATGAAAAAATCGAAAATTCCAAAAACCGTAATCCTAACCTATATAAAAAACAAATGAAAGCACTTTTTCTTCTTCTCGTTTTTTATGGTCTTTGCTTCACTTCGGCGTAGTAGACCAGTCTCCTCCTATTGCATAACGGATATTATGCTTCGTCCGGGGACGTTGTGTGTCTTGCTTAACGCAAACTACGTCTTTATGTTGTCGATATATATTTTTTCACTAATAACAGTCTGTAATTGTTTGTGGCCACAGGTGGTTTATTTTTGATTTAGGGGTGTCTGGGATTTTAACGGATTCAATTAGGAATATTAGGAAAATTAACCTTCTCATTTTTCTTTATAACTGTATATGGTTGTAAACCATATACTTAATAAAACCTTTGCAAATTCTATAGTTCAAGGTTTACAGTACTGTAATCATGTTCAAAGGAGCTGAGATTCCATTTTGAATCATTTTTTGATAAAGATCTTGTCCAGGGATAGTGTTGATGGGGCCCTCCAAAAATATATGGTTAATTGTTTCTAGTTGTCCACATTCACAGTTTGACAGTTACTCCCAATTTTAAATAAATGATATTTACAACTACAGTGACCTGTTCTCACCCTAATGATACTGGTAATATGCCTTCGATCCATATTCGGTATTTTCGTATACCATGGTTTTGAAGGATATTCGGATTGAACCGTAAAATACATTTTCCCTTTGTTTTGTATCTCATTTTTTTATTGTGTATAAAATTTTGAATTAATTTTTTGTTTTAAATTTGGGAAGGAATTCTTTTTATCCACCTTATTATCTAGTGGAATATTTAGAGATGTACCAATTTTTCCCAGAGTATCCGCTTTTTCATTACCTTCGATCTGTTGATGTCCGGGTTTCCAAGTCATCTTGAAAGTAATGTCATTTTGTAAGGCTAGTCTTATTCTGTCTTTGATATTTAATGTAATGTAATCGCCATTTATTGAGTTATCCGCATTTTGTATTTTTTCTATTGCACTTTTGGAACCTGTGACTATTATATTTTTTCTTTATTTCTTTTGCATACACACCCTAATACTTTCATGTATCGCTATAATTTCCGCGTCACATATACTTATATGCTCATTCAGTCTAGCTGAAAAAGCATAATCAATCCTATGAATGTTAATACCTATTCCCACTTTATTATTCTGTTTAGATGCATCTGTAAATACAAATGAGTATTCTTCCTTAAATTCCTCAACAAATAATCTAAAGTTGTTTTCATTTCCGCTATCAGTTTTTTAAGCTTTGAGTCTATTATTTCAATTTCTTGAATGTATGTGCCATATTCGAAAGTAAAACTCGGTATTACCTCATTTTTATATGCAATATTTTCAAAATTAATACATTTTTTATATGCTTCTAATAAATATGGTATTTGTTGTTCGGATCAATAAGTATTTTGTTGTTCGTGTAATAAGTAATTCCAAAATGTCAATGATGGGTGGTCGAAAATCTATGCGTTTGATTACGTATTTGTGTGCTAGCCATTGTCGTCTAGATTCTAAATTTATTACTCCCGCTTCCGCTAATATGGCGTTTATTGGAGTTGATTGCATACACCCCAGAATTACTCTGAGTCCCTGAATATATATTTGATCTAGCCCCTTTAGGTTTTTTCTCGTACATGGTTTGAAAAATATGCTACCATATATTAAATGTGCCCTAACTATGCCGTTATAAGCCATTATCATTGTGGTGGGGTCTGCTCCCCACCACATTTTGGAAAAACTTTTTATAATGTTTATC